GGACTCAAGTAAAGGCAAAACATAAGTATTTCAGGAGCATGAAGGGCCAGAGCTCTGTGAAGCTCTGCCTAAAGACCATGCAAGGAGAGGGCAGCATTGCTCCCCTGGTGAATAGAAGGAATTTCCAGAAGAAATGCAGATTAGGAATATATTTAGGTTTTCGGTTGCATCTCTGAACACAGATACACAGACATGATACCAGAATTGAATATTTAGCATTCTTTTATCCTATGCTATGGAAGAGGGAGACCCGTGTGGAGAAGCTACTCCAGTGCTCACTAAACACCGGGTCCTGGCAAGCATCACATGTCTCTGAACTTCTCTGAGTACTCAGAATGCATGACTGCGTTCTCTATTCACACCTAGAGATGGTAGCACATGATTTACCGGTTGAAAAGAAAGTGAGAAGGTCTGGAAAGTCTAGGTTTTCTCCTGGCACAACTGCAATCACTGTTTAAATCTCCTCTCTTTCACCTGCGTCCTCCTAACAGTCTCTTTCCCTCTTCGTACGACCTTTTTGGTCTCTTGCCTACTCTAATTGATTGAAGATTTTCATGGTTTCTACAGATCATTCTAATATTCCACTAGACATTGATGTTTCCTTGTAACCTTTCCACTCTACCTTCCCCATTGTCCGACTTCCCTCAACTGGCTTTCCTGTTGCATGTATGACCCTGATATTGTAAAGAAATTAACTGGTGTGCAAGGTCTGGATAGGGGTTTGATAGAAGAGCCTTGGGTAGCCTTGGGCTTTATACTCAGTGTATGTCTAACCACATGGTTGCCCTTTGGTGTGAAGTTTAGCCTCTGATTCCTATATTACACATGTCCCATATCTACATATTGAAGATTCTAATGCTTCTCTGAAGGGCAAGTAAAGACTGCACAAAATGTCTCCGGCACAGGGCCACAGGGCAGTCCTTCTATAGTCCACGGGCACAACTGCAGCCCATCCTTCCTCTCTGCTGATCTTTGTAAGAAAACCAGTGACTACATTTACAATGACACAATATCTATTATAACAGCCATTAATAAACAACTATGCAGGTAGTAATACAGAATTTGTCTTTCATTTGATTAAAAAAATTTAAATATGTCAAAATTACTCAATTTTTTTTTTTTTTTTTTAAATAGGGTCTTGGCTCTGTTACTTAGGCTGGAGTGCAGTGGCATGATCACAGCTCACGGCAGCCTCAAACTCCTGGGATCAAGCAACCCTCCCACCTCAGCCTCCTGTACAGCTGGAACTACAGGCACATGCCACAATACCTGGCTAATTAAAAAAAAATTTTTTTTTTAGAGACAAGGTCTCACTATGTTGCTCAGGTTGGTCTTGACCTCCTGGTCTGAAGCCATCTTCCCAACTCAGCCTTCTAAAGTGTTGGGATTACAAGCGTAAGCGACCAACACCCTACTGTAATTTGACAATTTAAATTCCAATCAATAATTTTTTGAAGTTCACAATAAATGTGTGTTAAATCCTTAAATATAGAATTCTACTTCTGAGTATGAGGGGGACTATCCCTATATCTATCCTTAGAGAAGCGTATACAATTTTTATGACTAAGTAAAAGAAAACATGGAAAATCCCTGCTTTTTTCCCCCAGAGAATGCCCTTTCCTCTTCCTCTTTTTAAAAAAGCAGCACGCAGGCCTGGCTCCCGGCACAGTGGGTCTCACTGTCGTGCCAACTCTCCTGATTCCTCAGGAGACCTTGCTCAAGGTCAGCTGAGATGGCCTCAGAGGAGCCACACCTGACTGTACTGCTGGAATCTGATCTCTGAGTCATTCTCTTGGAAAACAGCTGATCTGGGGAGAGGCAAAAGTCAGGGGTGCTGGCATGAGAGGATGATAAGTCACTGACGAGGTACAAACCTCTCATTCTGGAGGACCAGCTTTAGGAAACATCGAGTTGGAAAAAAAGGTGTCTGGGGAAAACCAGCAAGCATTTTTGGTCAGGCCCATTTAACATACAAAATAAATGTGCGAGGGCTGTTGTTCCGAGCAATTTCTCAAATATCTAGCATGCACCATATTAAAAAGGCGAAAATCTGAAGAGAAGCTTTGAAAAAGGAAACCTTCAAGGAGAAATGGATTTTATCAATTACTTAAGTTTGAATAAGATAACAAGAAACAAAAAACAAAGGAAGCCTTCAAGCTTATTTCCTGAAATTGTAATTACATGCATAATGCACAGATACGGGTGTTTGTGTATTCCTTTAAAAATGACTTACATATATACACTACTCAGGACACTTCATGTTCTAGGATGAAAAAACTCGAAAAGGTTTGACCAAAAGAACATTACAATATCATTTTATTTCATGACTTCATTTGCCTTTTAGTTTCCTTAAACAAGGAGCCACTTTTAAAAAGTCCCAGTGTGTTCTCTAAAAACAAAGTAATCTTAAACTCATATATTGAGAGCAGTGAACATTTAATGGCGATAATAATGCATATGAATTCATAAGGCTGCTTATCTGTAATTTAAAAATCTAGGAAAGAAAAATGTTTTAATAAACTTTAAATGCAATAATAACCTGAAAGTTAAAAACATTTGGATACAAATAAGAAACAAAGTATGCTTTTCACAGCATTCTTTACAGCACTTTAAAAAATGTTTCAATCTACATCAGAAAACTAGTATAAAAACAACTCGAAGTAACTTGCACACATGGACTTAAGGTTATTTAAGAATTAGGTATCTTCGGTATCAGGGCTAGGATTTATGCCTGCAACCCAGCTGACACTGTGTTGGTGAGTCACATGGCTAAGCTCTTTCTAACCTTCCTGATCCAGGTAAATAATAGTATTGATAAAGCTCAAGCCAGTTACTTATGCCTGTGAAGGAAACTGACTGTTTGCTTTGGATGGTTTGCCTTGATGCCCGGAGGGACCCGCCCCTTCTTGTGTACCTAGGCTATATCAGGCATCTCCATTGCTCTGTCTTGTTACTTTCCCTATACCCCCACTGCCTTGCTGTTCTTCTTACTTGGCATATGAGAAACTGAGGCTCACAGAAATAAAGAAAACCATCCCAGTCCACCCAGCTGGTTACTAAGCAGACGAGCTGAGGTAATGGCCAGGCCTACTAAACTCTGTAGTTCTTCCCTGGCCACCAGGGCTGCGAACAACTGCTGTCGGCAACCATCCTGGTGAGCAGAACATCACGCAGCCATGTACGAGAGACAGGAGGGGTGGTGGGATCACAAGAGGGAACAACATGTCCTGGCTTGCTCTGACTTCCCAGTTCTAGCACTGCCAAGTCCCATGTCCCAGGAAATCCCTCAGTCATGGGCAAATCAGGATGGATGAGCTCCCTAGAATGGTGCAGAATGAAAAACATGGGACTGTTGGAAGGCATTCCCCACTAAGTACACTGGCACTCGGGTGCAGTTTTACAACCTCAGCTCCACAAGTGCTGGTGATGGCAGATGCAAAGCTCCTTCCAGTCAACAGGAGCCCCAGGCTTTCGTATCAGAGCTTCTTATATCTGAGATAAGAAGATAAGTAAGATGGCGATAAGAGTGAGAGACTTCCGAGTAGAGCACTGAGGGGTGCTGTTGGCTTTCTCTTTAATTCCTGTTTCTACAGATTGCACAATTCTGCCCGGCACAGGCTGACTCTTATCTGTCAGCCCAAGTTAGATTCTTAGGTTCTAGAAAAGCGATCGCATCACCTGACAACATCCTGCATAATGCAATAATAATAAATTACAAAATACATGGCTTACTATTTAAGCAAGAGTACATTACAAATGGATGCTGGACAGGAAGCTGGAGGAAGGCTGTCAATCAAATCCAAGCATGGGGCCACTCAGAATGTGGGCACTGAGGCTGAGGCTCTGTTCTCCTGAGGGTTGCTCTTTATACTTTTCAACTTGTGGTGGAAATGAGGTAACTGGAGAGCTGTCTTCATTTTCCTAAACATTTCTAACCTCCTCATTTGGTGTTATTGAGCTCTTAGTCCCTCCATAAAAGAGGGAACCATCTGTACTTTGACCACCATTCTTCCACTTCCTTAGCTCCTTCCTGAAAGATCGTCTGACTGTAGGAAGAGACCTGGAAAAAATGTTCCCAGGCTCTCCATCAGCTGTGGGGACCAGAAAGGAGTCCCGGGAGCAGTGGGGATGTGGGGAAAAGCACCCTGCCATTCCCAGGCCTGCTGGCCGGCCATCCTTCAAAGATACTCTACCCCCTCAGTCTCAGTTCCTGGACTGGAATTTAAGTTCTGCTCTCTCGACCCTGCCTCCCTTAAGGAGCCAGCCTGCAAAGCTCTCTCCTGGTCACCCACTCCCAGTGCCCCTGCTGCTGACCCTGCACCACCATCTCATTCCCCAAGCACAAAGAGGAAACTTCTGGCCAGGCCAGGTGGCTCATGCCTGTAAACCCAACACTTTGCAAGGGCGAGGCAGAAGGACTGCTTGAAGCCAGGAGTTAATATCAGCCTGGGCAACATAGTGAGACCCCATCTCTATGAAAATTTTTTTTTTTTAAATTAGCCAGGCATGGTGGTGCACATTCATAGGCTTAATTACTCAGGAGGCGGAGGCAGCAGGATCACTTGACCCCAGGAGTTCAAGGCTGCAATGAGCAACACACCATTGCCCTCCAGTCTGGGCAACAGGGCAAAAACCCATCTCTGAAAAAAAATAATTTTTTTTTTTAAAACACAGAGGACTTCTAAATTCTTGGGAGATTACCTGATAAACAGCACACAGAATTTAACAAACTAACAACTAGCAGATATGCAGAAGGTGTATCATGAAACCACTTGGAACGGCAAATGACCATCACTGATACTTTGGTCCTGGAGAAGACCTCAAAAGGTGGGTATTTTATTTTATTATTTTATTTTATTTCATTTCATTTATTTATTTTTGCCAGACAGCAAAATATCTGAAACCTCAGTTTCTTTGTCTTAGTGCAATAATGACACAGGTTTTCATAGAGAATCAATACCTCCTTCTCAGAATGGATCAAAGCAAAGCAATATGCTTACCTGAGAGGGGAATGAGTATTTTATGGATGGTAGGCAGAGGTCACAGGAATGCTGTCCTTTCTTAAAATGCTCTCTGCAGCAGGAAATTGCTAAAAAAAAATCAAAGGAAGAAAAGATTGCTTTTGCCTTTTTATTTGATAAAAATAGGCAGGCTATTAAATACATTTAGCAACAGAGAATGGTAATTCTTTTAAAAATTAGTCAATACAGGCTGGGTGCAATGGCTCACACCTATAATCCCAGCACTTTGGGAGGCCGAGGGGGGCAGATCACTTGAAGCCAGCAGTTGGAGACCAGCCTGCCCAACATGGTGAAAACCTATCTCTACAATCAAACCACAAAAAAACAAAACAAACAAACAAACAAAAAAACTCACAAAAATTAGTTTGGTGTGGTGGTGCTACTCGGGAGGCTGAGGCACAAGAATCGCTTGAACCTGGGAGGTGCGGGTTTCCGTGAGCTGAGATCGTGTCACTGCACTACAGCCTGGATGACAGAGCGAGACTCTGTCTCAAAAATAATAAAAATAGGAACTGATCAATATATTTAAAAAAAGATAGCACACATGTCAGTACACCAAAATGCATTAGTTTTTACTACTTCATTTGGAAACTAAGTGTTTTGTTCACTTCAACTATTGTTTCTTTTTTAAAAGAGACATTTAACCATGGATAGCAATTATGCAGAAAGAAGAATATAACATCAAGTTGTGATGAGTCGCATAAATAACGTTTTATGTGACATCATATCTTATTTCCAGGGCTATGAAAAAGTGTTAAGAGTTTTAAGGGGCCTCAGAGCCTCTGGTTCTGTAGCCCCATCTACAGAACTGGAAACTGAGGCCCATTCAAAGTGAGGGGCTCCACAGCACCACTCAGATGGCCGGGGCAGAGCTCTTGATTGCCTCAGGAGCATCCTTCATCTGCACTGTAGCACCCCCATGCCAGGAATCATTAATTCTCTCATTCATTCAACAGGTACTGACTGAACACTTTCTATGGACCAAGTACTGTTCAAGGCTCTGGGGGTTAAGACGAAAAACCTCTGACCTCATGGAGTTTACATTCCAGAAAGGGGAAACTAAAGAAATAAACAAATACAGTAAATATTATCTCAGAATGTCCCACTGAGGTGGCTCCATCAGAGCGAAATCCTTCAGGGCTCTCTGGGGAAGCACATTCCAGGCAGCAGGGGGAGCAGCAGCACCACTCTCCACGCTGTGCAAAGGCACCGGAGGTCGGTGTGGCTGTGAGGGTGGGGGATTGGTGGACACTGTGTGGCAATGGATGGGCCCACCAATGGAAAGTCGGTGTCATGGACAGGCAAGCTGATGAAGGACAGAGTGTTGGAGAATAGCTACTTAAAGAGGGGTAGCAAAGGAGACAGGGAAAAAACAAACCACAGACAAAAGAGCAACAGAGGATAATTGTTTCCTGTCCTGGAGGTCCGCTGGGTTAGAGAGCTGCTCTAAGGGGCTACCATCCAACTCAGGCAGTGGGGTGGGGTCTGGAGGGCGGGAAAAGTAAAGCCTGCACATTTTACAGCGTTTGAAAAAGTAAGTGTGGAAGCCTGACTAGGGTAACACATGACAGAATTAGGAGGATTTCCTGACTGCAGGATCTATAGAAGTAGAAATGCAAAATCTGTTTCCATGTAGAGATTTTACTGATGGCAAGGTCTTCTGCAAATAGGTGACCCCTTAAGTGGACTTCTCCTCCAAATTTGACAAGATTTAAAATTTAAATCCAATTAAATGTATAAGAAAAGCAAACACCTTCAAGGTGAAATCCAAGTGTTATAATCCAGTCTCAAATTTTACAAGCTTGTCTTTAATGAGCACATACAAGATAAATGACTTTCAGGAGTCTACATGCAGCCAAGAGTAAATGACAATTCCTGCCAATGCAAACAGTTCCAAAAGTAATCACTAAATTACTTAAGAATATAATAGCAATCAAAGTGTTTGGTGATTCATCTAAGATGCATTTCTAAATTCTGGATACGTTAAAGAAAACTTCAATTCCCACAGGATGTAAATCTATGAACATATTTCCATGTAACAACCTAGTGTGTATTCTGAGAAGAGTTAGCAGGTAGAAGAGAAATGATACTTTACATGTATTGAAATCAATAAAAACACAAAAACAGAATATGAAGCTATGCCAGCTTCAACTTAATGCTGAATTGTGAATGTGATGTCAAGATGGGCAGGAAATAGTAAGTTATGGGTTGGGTACCATCTCTCCTCTCCTGAAGCCCTCCGTGGCACTCCTCACCCCCTTTCTAAAAAACTGGTTGCCCCTCCTTGGTATCACCAAACTATGTATCTCTATCTGCCTCATGCACCCCTATTATTATTAATTTAGTTGCTTCTCTTCCTCAGTAGTCACTTCTTACAGGAAGGGACTGTGCCTTCTTTTTCTTGATAAAGCTTAGCATACAGCTTAGCACATGGTGAGTGTCCATGACCATAGAATACTACAGTGAAAAATAACTACACTTAGATGAGAGGCCTAATACCTTTTCACATATTTTTCCAATCCAGGCAACTTTAACAGGTCAACCCTGAAATATTTATCAATTGCTAATGACAAATATCTATCAGGTTTTTGGATTATCACAGATGCCAAGGGACCAGCCACAAATCCACCTATAGATATTACCATGGAAACTCTTACATGCAATAGCATGCACTACCCATTTCTCTTTCCTCTTCACAAATATTTTCCACACCTTGTTCAGCCCAGTTACTTTGCAGCACATCGTATTTTTCATGGAATGACTTCATTTTGAAACTAGTGACCACTTTTCCTATTTAGACCTCAGGAGAAAATGTTAGAAAGTATCCCTTATAACAGAAAATGTTTTAATTTTAAAATATAATATTTATGCTTATGCTGATAGACCTATTGTTGTTTGGTCAGAAACGTCATCAGTAAAGAGTTATAGAATTTTAAGGAGGAAAAAGAACAACATTTTAAAGTGTCCAAAAAATTTCTTTTTATTTTCTTGTCACAGAAACATGTAAAGAGTCTTCTTAATCTAGTTTTTAAAACGTTAAGATGTGATACATCAGAAGATAAAAGCACATATTTTGGTTACTTTACAAAAACATAAATAACACTTGTTTAATTATGTTATAAAAAGCCCCTTCGGTGTATATTAAAAGTCCCTTTGGGATATCATAATGCCGGTGCATTACACAGTACACAGATACATTCATATTTAAATTTTTAAAAAAGTTCCTCCTCCACACAGAAAGTCTTTAAGACCCAGCCCTAGGGATCTGACATCACTTAGAGTGACTTTCTACATCTTTCCATGACACACACCTCAAAGGGGCTCCCCCAAAAGGAACTCTAGACAATGTTTATGTGTGCCCAAGGCTTTCAAAGCGGAGAAAACCTTCTTGGAAATTATTTAAGACTAAGGCAATTTAGGGAGCATTTCAGGAGATAGACACAGAGAGAGAGAGACCGATCCACACCAATTTATCCTTCCCAAAATGAGTGTCCAAGCCTAACTGTTGATTCCCAGAAAGGTTTTTCTGCACATCCACATAGAAGAGCACAGCAGGCAGAGGGAGGGAGGGAAATGAGAGAGGAGCCTGGACTTCTGGAAAGAGCAAAAGCACTCTCACTGAAACTGCACTCTCCGCCACTGGTGCATATCTTCTGCAATGGGAACAGGCGTGGTTTGTATCAAGGAAGTGGAATGTGAAGTAGAACGACTGTTCCCAGGTTCATTTCACCACACAAGGTGTCTAAAACCTGAGAATGTCGCCAGCGGGTTCAAGTCACAAAGACACTGTATTACAAGCAACAACTACCAAACTTTCTTACTATAGATGATACTCTATTACAATTCAAGGCAAGCTTTCATAATATTCATTTTTTCCCTTAAAAATGTTATTTGGATGCAATTTGCACTGGATGATTTACTATCTACCAGGATGGACCTGGAAGGGAATGTGGAGTGGGGAAGGAGGCATGGTTGGTAAGTACTCTGAAGTTTACTCTGTCAAAGAATATACTGAATCCCTTTAACCAGAATATAGTTCTAGATCAGAGCAGGTATTTGAACAAATCATTAAAATTGCATCATTTGGTTTTTCAGGAGCAGAGAAATAATTCCTGATGGTTTTCAGAGATCGCAAGGCTCTGGTGATAGCAGACGCATGGTGGCTGGCAGCCAGCCGTGTGACTGGTGATTCAATACACAAGTTTCTGTGGACTCTACAGCCTGATATGGGAAGGACATCAATTTTTAAGTTTGACGAATAAGTAAAAACAAAAGAAGTTTTGGTATAAAACAGGACACTATGGAGAAGGGACACTGGGAACGAAAAACTCATGCTGCATTTATTTGGGATATTTGAACCTCAGTCTTGCCCATTTAAATATTTTTCTTTTAGAATGGGCCATTTTTTTATCTCAGATTATTTAAGATTATCAATTTTCAGGCAAAAAGTAATAGAAATAAAAATGTTGTCAAACAGTAGACAAAGTAAGTGGTAAGAACCCCACCTTCCTGAGACTTCATTTCAACTCCTAACGCAATGTCCCTGCTAAACAAAGCCATGAGACGAAAATTTCTCTTTCAAGTACAGCTAAATATACACTTTAAATATCTCTGGCAGAATGGGATATGTTAACCCTCTCTGTATTTAAAAGGCTTAATAAAAACTACAAAAGGTGAGACAAAGAAAACCATCCAAAATGAAGGCTGCACACATCTTTGAAGAAACAATAGCACATTACTTCTGCTAAGGCACAGCTTCAACATCAGGAGAGTCACTGCCCTGTCCTAATTAGAGTGTGTTTCACTAAATTCTTCCTGATTATTCACTATTCAGCACAGTGTGGACTCAATGCAAACAAAGTCCACTGAGTACTGAAACGCACCTACAAAGACACCCAAACTGATGCAACATCGGGCTTTCCAAAACAGAAGCGAGCCGGTAAGCATCACTCCTAAGCACACACATGCACTCTTGAATCCAGGTAAAAACATGATACCTTGGTGAATACTGTAAACAGAGTAGCTGTTTACCAGGCAAGCCTGCGGGAGAATGTATTTTCATATGGAATGCTGGAGTACCCATGGTATTAACAAAGCAAAATCAGATTAAACAGATGACACGATGAACATACTTCATTTCACGCATGGCCGTGTTTTTCGTGAGAGATAGACTTAAAGTAATTACCATGAACTGAGTCTCCTTCACTGACCTCCCACCGCTGCTGGCTGTCCTTAACGGCTGATGCTCCACAACAAAGACGAACGCCTTCTCTCGGGCGCCTTATTCCTTCTTTAACGTTACCAGCCAAGCACCTCCACCGTTGCAAGAACACAGTACAGCACCTCTGTATCTATGTCTCTAATGCAGCATAAAGATTACTGTGGAAACCTATCACACGGGCGAGCAGCAACGCCACCAACCAATAAGGAAAAGGCACATGCGGAATCCAGCACATGCTCTCTGAGACGCAGGCTGTCACCGGCGTTTAGCAGGCTGCTAATCTAATTATAGCTGGTTTGCTAGCACAGAGCCATTGGAGCAAAGCACAGGAGAAAACTAAATTTTAATAAATTAAACCTCATAGACAAAATCATCTCGACTTCCTGTCACTTTGAGGATTAATGTGTCACCTTATAAACTATAAGTGATTTTTAAAGTGTATTCTTATTTTCCTGAAATCTACAGAAACAAAGAGTGGTTAAATCAATGCACAGCACTATCGGCTTAGTTAAGCTTATCAGATTCCAGCACTAAGAATAAATAATAAAATTGATATTGTGAAAATAATAGTGGTGCTATAAAATCTGAGTCTTACTTTATTTACCCTAATTAACAATTTGCCACATATTTGTCATAAAGTGCTAATTAATCTCTCTTCAATATAGTTGGAAATACCAGGCAAATTTCTATCTATAGCGGAAAAGTGCTAATCAAGGTGTAAAAAATCATAATCTTGACTACAGTGATTAATTCGCAGTTACAAGGGACAGAAAAGGGATCTCAGAAGTTATCGTAAAAGGAAAAATTAAACACATTTGGCCACTACACAACTGAACGGCCAAACTACTTCTAGACGCCAAATCCTGTGACGCGTTCTCACAGTCAGACTGCCTCAGTTAAAGTTCTGGATCTGCCACTACCTAGCTCTATGACCCTGGGCAAATAACTGCATTTTTTTGTCTAAGACAATGATAGGAGCCACCTTGAAGAGTTACTGTCAATGAGCTGTAAGTGCTTAGCACAGGGCCTGGCACAGGGTGGATTCTGGGTTCTATGTTAAGCTCTTCTGAGCAGTAGTGATCTCAACCACTCCATATTGTCTCCCTTTCTTTCCAGCATCACAGCACTCAAAAGAGTACCTCAACACGCCTCCATCGTACAGTTCTGTCAGAAATACCACTCAGAAGTCATGAAGGCCAAGAAGCTAATGGTAGGGTTGATTAATCACACAGAACCATTATTGGTAATCACTGTTATAAGGCAAATTATTTCACCTACTTCTTTTTAGATATATAATAGTCACTACTTTCACTTGATTCTATACAAACCTATCTTAAAAATAATTTTTCAGGAAATTAAGGGCTTCTAATTATTTTTTTTTAATGATATAAATTTCAAAAATGTTTTCTATGGAATATAAATTGGGAAAAGTTTTAATTAGAAGGAGTTGGATTAAATTTAAAATGACAAATTTATGTTGAAAAGGGAGAGAAGTCAGCCAGTCAAATGCAACTCTCAGTTCTGAGAGTTGTTTATCTACTTCTTTTCCCTTAATTTCTTTTTTGTCAATATGTTCTACAGAATTAGCAGTCCTGAGCTGATCTAATCAAATTTGTAAATGTTCAACATTTTTTTTTATATTTCCTACAAGTGGGTATATTCTACCAGTCAAATTCCAATCCAAAGATAAAATGCAAACTTCCCATTTCTGTAGTTTTTTTTTTTTTTTTTTTTTTTTTTTTTTTTTTTTTTAGCTAAAAACCGAAAAGCTGACATGCTGAAGAGGCATTATGATTTGCTCTGAGGAACCAAATCTTCCCAGGGATTAATTAGTAGCCAAGAAACAGGACTACTGGCGAAGGGGCACTTCATCCTCCAATCTCTGTGTACCACAAACTGTTGGGAAATAAACCAGTGAAAGGAATGACATGGACCATAAACCTCAAGGGAAAGCACAGAAACTCATGGTCCATAAATTCAAGAGTGAAAACCTGTGCTGGAATGCAAACACATACACAAACCCTGGAAAAATGTGATGGAGATAACTGGCTAAAGAAAGTGAGAGCTGTGTGTGCTACCTTGAAGCATCTTCCTCGTGAATTATCAGAGTGCAATCACCATCATCAGGAGGTAAAAACTCCAAGAGGAATTGGCTTCAGAGATTTGGCCTAAGGCACAGCTCCCTGCAGGCTGCCAGGATACAGGCTAGTAACACTTCTAGGCATTTCTCTAGGAAACATCTAACAGCTTCTGCCTTCCTCTTCATTTAACAGACTGCTAGCTCAAAATAGGCACTGAAAAAGCTGTTTAATTAATTTGTTTCATGCCTGTTTAGTAGAAGACATTAAACAGACACTTTCTAAAAGAAGAAAGCTACTGTCCTTTCTTGGGTCTTATCTTTCAACATGTTCAGACCCAGTATTTGTTTTGGAGCTGAGTAACAGTTCATTGGAAATCTTTCTTATTGCCACTTGGCTAAGGGGGGGCCTATGTATACAGCCTCTGGAATGAGCCCTCTTGTCTTTGAACTTCAGTCAACACACTTTTGATTCTGAAAAATCATTTGTTTGCTCAGTGAATCATGTTAGGCCCTTACTATGTGTAAGGACTTGTGCTGGACCCTGGAAATACTGTAGGGAATAACAGAGCATTCTGATTCCTAAAGGAGCTTCTGTTGTAATGTGGGAGTGCTCATTAAGTGATTAACAAACAAGCAATAAAGATCAGGTAAACTGCCGCTCAGCACAGGATGCTCACATGACAGGGGTGGAGGATCTGGCTAAGGATGAAGCAGGTTTGCCGGCTTCCTCAGCAGGAGCATGGGGAAAGACCTTCAAGAGCTGTGAAGGTCATGGAGAAGCTGGCCGGGGGCAGTGGACGGAGGAGGAAGGAGGAGACACAACCACACACACTAGAGGAGGAAAGGGTTTGTTTGGCTCAAGCTCCCTGAGGGTCTGACCACCGCTTCTCTCCTTCTGGATCTTTGTAGATTCCCATAATCTTCCAAGTCGAAACCCTCATCTACTCTTCCTGGCTCAGAGAATGCGGACGTGTACATTTTACATTTGCTGTACTGACGAGGAGGAGCAGGCACTACAGAAACCTTCTGCCTCACTGCATGGATTTCCTCAAGTTCTGTTCTTATTCTCTAACCCTGGAGACTGAAAATGAGGCTGTGTTTCCAGAATTTTCATATAGAATTGTTACAACTGTTACAGTTTTTTCGCCTTGGAAAAAAGTTAGGGTTCCTGTATAAAAAATGATTCTGTTGAAAGCCAGGGCGCCGGGATAACTTTAGAGAGATCATAATATTCCGGCAGGAAGTATCTCGGTTTCAGCTGCTGGTCAAACACTATCTTAATGCGAGGGGTCCTGGAGGGCTGCTTCTGCTCAGATGAACTGCACCAGGGCCGGAGAAGGAGGCCTGGCTGCACGTGGGGCTATTGCGTCTGATGTTAAAGGCGTTTGAGCCGTGGTCCAGCAGAAGCCTTGGGCCCCAGCCCACATAAGGAGTGGAGGGCAGCTTGGAGGGTTGAGTGCTGAGCAGCGTTTCTATCAGGGGACCTCAAGCCACAACATGAAGTCACTGCAGGCAGAGCTGGGCACAGAAACCAGCAATCCACTCCCCAGTCAATGCGAGCCGGGTCCCGGGTCCTGCCCGGGAGCCACCAGGATCACCCCACATTGAGGAAAAGAAAAGAATACCCAGGCTGTGGAAGTCTCCTTCTGGCTACCAGGGGCAAGACAACTGGTGGGCAAGAGTCCAGGCAGCTGGTGCCCCTTCCTTCTCTGTTTCTGACACTCAAACAGCAATCTTTCTTTTTTCGTGAAGAGTGTGGCATACCAGGCACTTATTCAGCTGTGGCCTGGTTGGCCTGGGGCAGACTGAAACTGGCTGCTAGAAGTCACTCCTGCTGCTCCAAAGGCCATGGGCAGCAGCCCTGGCCCCAGCTCCCCCACAGACACTTGGCATCCCTGTGCCATGAGGCAGCTTCACTGTCTGAAGAGGTCCTCAGTGGCTCCCCAGTACCTGTGCATCAGCCCCGAACACCAAGTGTGAGTTCTCAGAGAGGCTGCCCGCTGAGAGGGACAATGATGTTGGACAATGACCTTGCCGGGTACAAAAGCTCTGAGCAGACCGCTTGAGTCTTCTCTGCAGGGCTCGGTTTAGAAGCCAATTGTGTATCCTGAAGTGTCTTCTCAAAGCCTAGTTTTTCTTCTTCCTCAAATGATCGGCTTTTTATAGTACTGGTGAAGGCAGCAGGGTACTACGAGGCTCCGGAAGGGGTATGAATTAAAGAGGTTACTAGGACTCTCACACTGGAGCAGGAACTTGGTTCTCGTACAGTTTCTTGTCATCAGGGCTCCTCCTCCCTGTCCTCATAATGATGTTTAACTCATATTTATTTACTCCTATCATTTGCCAAATACTGTGTTAGGATGAAGAGGACAAGGACCTTCCAAACCAGTGAAGGAGACAGATTCAACAATGCCAATGACTAAACCTGAACAGGGCTTTAAAATTGCAAAGGAAACGTCACATATAGTATCTGCTTTGAGAATCCCCAAAATGCTGTTGGGTAGGTATTCTTATCTTCTCACTTAGAGATATGGAAATGCCAGGGGGGCTACAGGACTTGCTCAGCGACTCCAGACTCAATTCATTCCTAACACTCAATTCATTCCTACACACAAAAATTATTTATAATTATCCCATGGGCATAGTAACGATAGGATTAATCTAATATATAATAAAGCCATAATAATGACATATTACAACCTAATAATAATTAGGTATTAAAATCATAAATAGATATTATTGTTTAATGAGAGCTACGAATTCTGTTGCAGAAGTCATCCTAAGACTTTAGCTTCTCTTCTGTTCTCAGATCATACCATGGTTTTGGATATTAACAGGCATCCTCTAGGTTATAAAAGTGTTTACCTCATTATTCATCTCTGTACCACCTAAAGGACCTGGAATTCCTTCTATATGGACCATGGAATAATTCCTATAAAATTTTAAATTACAATACATGGGCAAATATCCTAAATTTCAGTTTTGTCTTCTAAAGCGAAATGTCCACCATTTCAGTGATGTGCAGGTTCTGATAATTTGAAGTAGTCCCATTCAGCCCCATCGCCAGCTCTTTAATGCATCTCTGCACTTACTGTCCAAAATCAAGGCATATAATCTTGCACGGGTAAAGCATGCTGCTGTTTTTAAAAAAAGATTCATGAAAGAATTTCAAGTATGTATGCCATGAATGTTCACAATTATGTTTCAACACTAGTCACTTTGAAAGATTAGACTTTTATCCAAACAAATATGTAAGTAAAGAACATCATTTGCTATGAAACTCATCTAGGGTCTTTCTGAAACTTTTAAAATTAGTGGAGGCTAAAACATAGCAGTCTTGATAAGAGTCATATAAAAACTTTGGGGGTTATATCTTCAATGACATTCCTAGGGAGAAATTATCTTCCTAGAAAAATACCACCATATATGTCTCTCCTATGCCATTTATTACGTTTTATCACAATCCAGCTACTTTCTAGCTGGTAACCTTTTGTAAACTATTTAACTTTTCTATGCTTCAATTTTCTGATCTGGAACATTTGGAGGAGGACGTTGTGTGGATTAACTAAATGAGTTAATGCATACATAAAGCATTTAGGGAGTGCCTAACACTTAGTAAACATCATCTAAATTCTCCCCACTTGGATGATGGCAAAACTAAAACATCCAGGCCAAATGGTAGATAATACTAGAAAAACTGACACCCTCCCCGAAAAAGATGTATATAGTATAAATACATAACCCTCATGCCCTGAGCACAACCCAGATGAAAACTGATATACTGTTAAGAATTTGTGTTAATAATATCTAGAAATTCTGGAACTTAACTAAGCACAACTTTTTTCATGAGGCAACTTGGAACAACTTTTGAAATCTAAAAAAATGTGTATACCTTTACCCCTGGCCATTTCATTTTGGAAATATAATTCTAAGGAAATAGTTGGGATCACATGCCCCAAAAACGAAATAATTGACGATATGTACAAAAATATTAGAGAAAGGCATTTACCATGGTATCCTTTTGATATGGTTTAGGTCTGTGTCTCCACCCATATCTCATGTCAAACTGTAATCCCCAGTGTTGGAGGTGAGGCCTGATGGGAGGTGATTTGATCATGGGGGTGCAATTTGCATGAATGGTTCAGTACCATCTCCCTTGATACTGTATAGTGAGTGAGTTCTCACAAGATCTGGTTGTTTAAAAATGTGTGGTCCCTTCCCCATCTCTCTTCCTCCTGCACCAGCCATATAAGATGTGCCTGCTTCCCTTTGCCTTCTGCCATGATTGAAAGTTTCCTGAGGTTTCCCCAACCATCCTTCCTGTACAGTCTGCAGAACCATGAGCCAATTAAACCTCTTTTCTTTATAAACTACCCAATCTCAGACATTTCTTTATAGCAATGCAAGCACAGACTAATATACCTTTATAGGGCAAAAACAAATTAACAATCTTACCATTTGACAATAGCAAATTAGTTAAATAAATGATAGCATATAAATAAAATTAATAGAACATTGTGAAGTTATTAAAAAGTCCTGTTATAAGAAAATATTTACCAAATAAAAATATAGCTGAATATTAGGTAAGTTATAAATCAATGTGTACAAGTAGAGCATGAAGGTACCAAAATGGTCCCAAAT